CTCGCATACATCCATCAGTCCGATCCATAGACGGAAAGGCTAATGGACGGGTGATCGCTCCCCCACCCGCCCAGCGATCGCTCCTCCCTCTTCTCCCCCTTCCTCCTCTCCTTCTCCTCTTTCTACTATAGTAGACCACACAAATTTTTTTGAAAAACAAAAGTTAGAAAAATTTATGTATAGAAATACTATATATAAAAAATTTAAATTCAAATTTAAATTTGAATCAGCTTTTGACTTATAAACTTTGGGTCTATAAACTTTAGGTGTATAAACTTTAGATGTATATAAATACTATATATAGAAAATATTTGAATTCAAATTTAAATTTGAATCGAGTCTATAAACTTTAAGTCTATAAACTTTAGATCTATAAACTTTAGATGTATAGAAATACTACATATGAAAAATATTTCAATTCAAATTCAAATTTGAATCGGATATTTGAATTCGAATTCAAATTCAAATATGAAACGGGTATATAAACTTTTGACTTATAAACTTTAGGTCTATAAACTTTAGGTGTATAAACTTTAAATGTACAGAAATACTATATATAAAAAAATATTTGAATTCAAATTCAAATTTGAATCGGATATATAAACTTTTGACTTATAAACTTTTGGTCTCTAAACTTTAGATGTGTAAACTTTAGAAGTATAAACTTTAGTTGTATAAATTTACTAAAATAGAAAAATAATGCGGTGAAAAAAAAAGGAAACCAGGTGGAGGGAGGGGGGAGGCGGGGAGCGAATCTGATTGCTACCCCATCCCCATGGCTATCGATCGCCTATTAGGCGTACCCATCCATAGATGTCCGACTAGAAAATAGACGCGCCTTTGGCGCAACAACTTAACAATAACCTATGAATATTTATATTTTTCATTTAGGATTTATAAATGTTGTAGAGTTATTTGAAAGAATTTTAATTTCTTATATCCTAAATGAACCAAGCAACGATAATAGCTGGTATTTGTGATACTTCTATTTGGAAACAATTCTGAAAATGTTTATTTCCCGACAAACATATAAATGGAAACTAAAAAAAAAGCTCCAGCTTGATGAACGTTTTAATGGGCCAATTATGTAAATGTTTCACATGCAGTGCTCTTCGATATAATTAACGATTCTTCGAGTAGGCAAGAGCCGTCTCAAAATAATATCTCAAAAGAGAACTTTTCTACATAATGGGACAAGTAGAAAATATTAATTCTAGTATGTTGAATGTTTTAGTAGAGCAATTATGTAAACATTTATGTGCAAGTCGTTGATATAATTAATAATTCTTCAAGAACGCATGAACCGGCTCTTCGGAAAAAATAAACATGTTGGTTGGTGTGCTCTCTTTGTAGCTAGTATGTTCCAACGGAAGTAACTTTTACGAGTGGCCAAATAAAAAAAAATTCCATGTAGAATAAGCTACATATAGAACATATGTTTCAGCTCTCTATTTTAGTCCTTGTTCTAGATATAGAACATATAGAATAAGGTTGTACAAGCCACAGTAATTAACAGTAGCCTTATTGTACCTATGGTAGATTTTGTATTTCAGCTTTCTATTTCAGTCCTTTTATTTTCTTAATTAATATTTCTCTGATTTTTTTTTACCTTAGAAACCATTGATGAGAAAATTAACTACGTAGACACCCTGAGGGCCCACTTCACATTAGTAAAAATATAAAAAAGGATAAGTTATATTTAAAGCATTTTTATAATAAAACAAGTCACAAATAAAATAAATAGTAATTCCAAATTTTTTTTAAATAAGACGAATGATTAAACATTACGAATAAAAACTCAAAGCGATAACTAATATGGGATGGAGATAGTAGTTATTTGAACTAAAAATGGATTAATATTTTTTTAGAGTAAATTTTTAACAGAATTTTATAAAAATAACATATTGTTTATCAGTTCGGATAGCATGTGCATAGAAAACGTGGGATTTTTTTTCTGGCCTTTTGACACTATCGAACGCATATCTAGTCATATAGGGATATCTCATATTTGACTTTTATTTTATGTATTTGTCTCGTTTTAATGTAGCCTTACAACGAGCAGTTAAATTACTCCCTCCGTTTCACAATGTAAAACATATGTATCTATATGTTAATGAATCTAGACACATGTATGTGTATAGATTATTAACATCTATATATATGTGGACAATAATAAAAAGTCTTATATTGTGAAACGGAGGAATTAGTAAAAAAGAGAAATAAAAATAATCCATCCAACATGACTCGTTCACCACATTGTGCTTTATTGCTTGTTTTCGATCTATCTATGATGCACGTAAGATGGCAAGATTTTTGCGCTTCTTGTGTTCGTGAACCTATCACGCCGCGGTAATTAAAGGGGTGTTTATATCTCGGTTGTAAAGGGTTGGTACGTCGTATCGGATATACAGACACATATTTAAAATATTAAATGTAGACTAATAATAAAACAAATTATAGATTCCGCCTATAAACTGTGAGATAAATTTATTAAGTCTAATTAATCTGTTATTAGCAAATGTTTACTGTAGCACTACATCGTCAAATGATGGACTAATTAGGCTTAAAAAATGCATATCGCAATTTACACGCAAACTGCATAATTAGTTTTTTTATGTTCAATACTTCATACATGTATCTAAATGTTCGGTATGACAAGGTATAAAATTTTTTTATGGGAACTCCTAACGCTACATAAAAGTCTGCATTCGTTATTTTATTTTTTATTTTTTATTTTTACCTGCGTCAAACTGATAGGTTACCCCACAAGTCGCGCACCGCACGGCACCGATCGATTAAAGCGTATCTACCTGCCACCTGCCAGCCAGATGCTGAAGGCAGCGTTTGAGAAGGGATAGGCTTAAAAAAATGCAGACCATACTCCCTCCGTATAAAAAAATGGCAAACCCTGGATTTACGTGTCCAACTTTAACTGTTCATCTTATATGAAATTTTTTTATAATTCATATTTTTATTATTGTTAGATGATAAAACATGATTAATATTTTATGTGTGACTTGTCTTTTTAATTTTTTTTTTAATTTTTTTTAAATAAGACAGACGGTCAAACGTTAGGCATGGAAACCAGGGTTTTTTTTTTTTTTTTTTTTGACGGAGGGAGTATGCTGCTATTCGTCTACTACTACCGTAGGAAGAAGAGGCAAACTAATCCCTGTATTACTCCATTATCCATTCGATTCCCACGAGGCCACCACCATGCGAGCGGAGAGGAGAATACGGCGGCCATCAGGAGGAGCGCGCGCGTGGCGGGTCCGGTGCCCAACGGGAGCGGCCTCCGGCGGCGCAAGCGCAAGAAATCGGAGTTGGGGGCAGAGGGGAGCGGGTGGGCGTGGCCGTGGCCGAGGCGACTCTGGCCAACCAGCTGGAACGGTGGCGCGAGCTTTTCTGAGGGGCCGCTGACTCCACGCAGAATCTACGACGTGATTGAGAACGCCATCGTCGTCGCCGTCGCCGACGTGCCGCAGGAGCTCCTGCACCGCCGCGACCGCCGCTTCTCGCCTCCCCCCTAAGGCGACGCATGTCTAGGCAAAGCAGGCTGTGTAGATCGAGCCGCCATCACCCCCTGCTCATCAGCCGATGCAGGTGCTGGCGATGTGGATAGAGGCAGGGCGGAGGCACGGTGAGTAGGAGATAGGAATTTATATTTTTCTTGCGATTTTTTTTTTCTGGATTCATGTCCAATACTCCGGACTCTTCCAATCTTCCAGATGATTAGATCTTACGTTTTGTAAATAACTCATCCAGACGATTTTTCACCGTTGATGTACCATCTAACGGTCCTGGGATTGGTGGGAATACGTGGCACATTCTCCATCGAGAATTCGAATGGAGCGCAACGCTTGATGCCACGTGGCCCTATCTGAGGCTCGGGATCGGACCCTGAAATCGTATATAGAGATTTGCAGCATTCTCGGTAATTAAACCCATAACATGCATGCGTGAATGTTTAGGTGTTTTACATTAATTTAATTATCCCAATTGCATGCATCAATGTAATTAACCACATATGCATATGATCTGTTATTTGACCACGTCCGTCACGCCGGTTACCGAGCCGATGCCCCTCCCGTCCGCCCACGAAGACAGTGATCGTCATGATCTCGTGGACGAAGCTTTTCTGGTGGCGGCTGGCGGAAAAGAGAGAAGCGAATGCGGCCGGAGGAAAGCGGCTGCAGCGGCGAAGCTGCTGAAAAGCTTTTATCCCCTTTTACTCTGTTTGCACGGACCTACGAAATCCCGATGGAATTTAATTACAACTTACAACACAGACGAAACCCTTCAACAAGTAGGGTCATTTGATATGAAGGAAAAACATAAGAAATTTGAAGAATTCTAATCCTATAGAAAAAAATTTCTATGAAACCCCTTAAAACAAATGATTGAATCCTATCGTACCTTTTAAAATTCCTGTAAAATAGACAATCCTATAAGGTGTGTTTGGCAATTGGATTAGGAAAGAAAAATAGATGAATGGCTAGGATTAAATGAAGTGTGAAGAATGGATAGTTAGGATACAATATTACCCTTTGAAAGGTGGGATATTATTTTTCCTACCCTATTTTCTAAATAAAACCACAGAGATTTTGAAGAAAATTTAGTAAGCGCTTCAGCTTCTTGGAAACTTTCCTTTGAGTTTATCTCATCTGATTCTTGGTTTTCCGGTGGTTTAATCAGATGGTCATTTCTGGGTTTTTCATTTGTTTTGCAATCATCTGTTTTGCACTTGCATTTCTATTAGAATCCTACATTTTTCCTGTTGAAATTATAAGTACATAATGATTTAATTTATTCCATAAATAAATCATGACATTGCAGATATAAACTAGATTGAATGCATCATTAGATTTATACATATAAACACGACTCATTGAACGCATCATTGGAAACCTTGACCAAGGAACACAGCCTAGTGGACACTGATATATACTTGGCGCTTTTGTCTTGGTTGCTCCACATGAATTAAGTTGCAATTAGCCGTGTTTAAATATTTCCTCGAACTTGGTATTTTCTTTTCTGAGAATTACACATGTTCCAGGCAACACGGGCGAAAATATAATGCAATGTCGTGCTTACGCCAACAAATGGTGCTCCTGGCGGGACAAAGTAGATTGTTTCTCCTCGGCTCGCTGGCGTCCGCCAACACGCGGACAGATCGATGCGCCCCACCTCAACCTGCTAGCCGGAGGCGGTGGATCCGGGGGTTGGGGATTGGGGAAGAAACAAAAAACCAAGACCCTATACAGTCTTCTCAAAAAAAAAAAAAACCTATACAGAGTTCGGTGGGACCCACGGCATGTATTCTGGGGCGCCAGCAGAAAGTGATACGAGCGGGGCAGTTACGTGTACGTTCGAATCTCAAAGCATATCCTGCGGCTGCTGGCCATGGTGGATGGCTGAACAGAGAAAATGGACCAAACAGGCCTACATGGTACTATGATTATGATGAACAATAAGCTTGGCCCTGGCGTGGCCAGACTCCACCCTATACTGGTCTCCCATTCCGAAATGCGCCATGAGCAGCCACACCACGGTGAGCATCTCGCCTCCCTGGCTGAGCTGCCTCGCGTGGGCATTGCCGCTGCACTTGCCGGCCGCGTAGCATAGCATCTCCACCCACACGCCAGCAATGAGCCTCCACCTCCTCTCCTCCGTGATGCCCTCCAGCTCGTTGAGCTGTCTCACGAGTTTGCACGCCTGGAAGAGCACCGACTTGCTCCTGTCCCCCTTCACGTCCCGCGGCTCTGCAATCGACGTGTCCACCTTCGTGAGCCTCTTGGCACACCGCTCCTCGTCCCCGATCTCCTCGTCGTCTCGCCGGAAGAAGTTCTTGGCCTCCGAGCAGGTGTCGCCGAAGCGGATCTGCCCGATGCTGGCCGTCATCATGAACGGGCGCATGACAAGCAGGAACAGCATGTAGTTTGATATCTCCCTGCTCATCGTCGCCAGCTTATTCGAGTCACGCCCTCGAGCCTCGGCATCAGGATAGCCCGAGCTGGAGCTGCAGAGGCAACGGAGACACTTGGACGACGAGGAGCAGCTGCAGCATCCGTCATCATCTTTGTCCGCCGGATGATTGGCGTAGAAGCAGAGGTCTGTGGCGATGTGCCAGAGGAGGATGCTCTCGTCAAACTCGCAGTCGACGCTCCAGCCCAGCTTCTGGTAGAGGCCCTTGCGCTGGAGCGCCCACTGGCCACGGTGCTCGCCAGCCTTCCGGTAGCTCTTGGGGTCCTTGCTGATGCTGCTTGCTTTGCTCTTGAGCTGTTCGAAGATGTGGCTCTTCAGCAGCTCCGACACGCCGATGCTCGTCTTGTACCTCCAGCTGTCCCACATCGTCTTCACGCGGAAGTTCCACCTCCACTCCAGCCACTCCATGGGTTTCTTGTACCGACGGGACTTGTCCTTGACACAATAGCTGATCAGGTTGTACTGAGATATCTTGTTCGACCACCTAGGCCTCTTCTCCGGCTGGAATAGGGCGATCAGCCAAAACACCGCCGCCGCCACGGGCCGGAGCGCTTCTCTGCCGCGCATGTCGGTGTAGGTCCAGGAGGAGATGAAGATCAGTAGGATCGCGTATGTCTCCAAGAAGATGGCTCCTCCCAGGAGGACGAAGGAGATGTTGATGTCAACCTGGTTGTAGCCTTCTCGCATGTCGCCCAACGCGCGGGTGAAGAGCACGAGCGACACGACCGGCGCGGCGAGGCTGAACAAGCGTAGGCTGCGGCCGAGAAGACCATGAATCACGAGTGCCTTGGAGTGGAGGCACTCGTACATGAGCACCAGCTCGATCTCCACCACCTTGTACGCCTGCTCCATCTCCAACCTCCGGAAGAAGGCGAGGCTGTCGATGCGGTCCTGGAAGCTGAGGATGAGGTCGACGAAGAGGCGGCGGAAGGTGTGAAAGAACCTGTGCGCACTGTACACCAGGTCGCCGTACTCCTCTCGCTTGACTTCGACATGGTCCTCGTCATCTGGAGGCCGCTCCTGCACGATGACGATCTTGGCGACCAGTCCGGACTCCGTCCTCGACTGGCACTCCTCCACGAATTTGGCGTAGTTCGGGCCCGGATCCGGCTGCGTGACCATGGAGCTGCGAAGGCAGTCCATGCTCGCCGCCCTGAGCGCCAGCGTCCGCTCGCCGTACTTGGTGACGCCGGCGACGAACATGATTATCGCCGGGGACATGAGCCGCATGCTGGGCCGCGACTTCCAGTAGACGTACCCGGCTAACGCGACCTGCGACAGCAGGCTCAGGAAGTGACGCAGCCAGAGCTCGTTGTCCTCCACGGCGAAGGCGGTGATGGTGTCCTGCCCCCCGAGATGAAGGATGAGGAAAGGGGCCCAGAAGACGAGGAGGTGCATCTCGCCATCGAATGAGCCGTCGCAGAGCTTCTGCTTCTTGGAAAGGTTGCCCAGCGCGTAGATGGCGATGTAGTCGGCGAGGAGGTAGGCGAGCCAGAGCGGCATGCGCAGCCACCAAGCGGCTTTGCGCTTGCGCAGGCCGCCGGTGAAGAGGAGGAAGACCTGCAGGGACAGGCTGGACAGGACGAGCACGCGGATCTCCCACTCCCCCCACACCTCCCATAGCCGCCTCAGGTTCATCTCCGCCTCCAAAAAAATCCTCTATCCACCTTGTGGGCTTCAATCTCCCAAGCTAAGCTGCTAGTGAACCTCCTGTGATTCTGTCCATCATCGGGGATAATCTATAGTTTCTCTTAGAGCATGTATAACAGCAGGCTATAAGTCAGCTCCAAATATATTTTAAGAAGATAAATAAAAAGAGAGGAGAGCAGCGGGTTACAGATTTGCAGCCAACTGTAGCACGAACTGCAAGACACATTGTGTGTATGACATGTGCGACCAGATATTAATAGTGTAGTATGTAACTATCTATCTATCTATCTATCTATTATATACTAAAAGTCCATTAAACTTCCTACAAACGCTCTCAAGTCGCCACGTGGCGCTCTAATAAATTAGAGAAAATCCTAGAAATTCTAAGAAAAAAGCAAAACATCTACCCCTTAATTTTCACTTAAATTGGTGGGTCCAATATTATACACCGTTAGATGAAATTGATCTTAACATAAACCAAACCAAATACTATGGGCCCCACCTCTCCTCCTCCCTAGATATATACGACCATGAACGTACGCTTCTTCTTTCCTTTCTCTTTTTTTTTTTCATTTTTTCTTCTTTTTTCCATTTATATAATAGATATATATATTTTTTTAAATAATCATAATTCATGCGTACGCTTCTTCTTTCAATTCTTTTTTTCCTTTTTTTCTTTTTCCATTTATATAATAGATATATATTTTTTAAATAATTATATTTTACAAACAAAGAATCTACCATCATGCAACTTAGAGGTAACTAAATTATCTCTACAATTTTTGAAAATAAAATTTACACCATTATCTGTTACCCATTAAATTAATAATAATGTAAGATAATTTTGATTTAAACTGGTGTACTCATTACTTTGTTACTTTGTACTGTTATGTTTAAATAATACACTATTTTAAAATAAAGTTTACACAGTTATACGTACGCTTCTTTCGCTTATTTTTTTCTTTTTTCCATTTATATAATGGATATATATTTTTTAAATAATCATAATTTTACAAACAGAGAATCTACCATCATACAACTCATAGATAATTAAATTAGCTCTACAATTTTTGAAAATAAAATTTACACCATTAAATTAATAATGTAATATAATTTCCATTTAAACCGGTGTACTCATTACTTTATACTATTATTTTTAAATAATACACTATTTTAAAATAAAGTTCACACATTATATTGTATACATACGTATACGTATGTGTACGTACGCTTCTTTCGCTTATTTTTTCCCTTTTTTTCTTCTTTTTTCTATTTATATATTGGATATATATTTTTTAAATAATCATAATTTTACAAATAGAGAATCTACCATCGTACAACTTGCATGTAACTAAATTAGCTCTACAATTTTAAAGAATAAAATTTAGACCATTATATGTTACCCATAAAATTTATAATGTAAGATAATTTCCACTTAAACCGGTGTACTCATTACTTTGTGCTATTATTTTCCAATAATGCATTATTTAAAAATAAAGTTTACACAATTATATTGTGTACCTATCAAATAAACAATTTAAGATCTATATTAACTAATTTATACGTGCATTTAAGCTGATGGACTCATTATTTAAATCACTGGATTTATTTTTTATTACATTGGACTATTAGTCTCCAATAATGCATAGTTTCAAAATAAAGTCTACACTATTATATTATATACCCATTAAATTAAAAATTTAAAATCTATATTAACTAATTTACACTTACACTAGAACCAGTGGACCTATTATTTAAATCACCGGATCTATTGTTTTCTTATAAATAAAGCGTTCGAAGTTCTCTTTTTTGGCCCGCTACACAATGCACGTCTGCACTTTTTGCCATTTGCACGCGTGACAAAGCGTCGTGTCTAAGGCATCTAAGGTGATTACGACCGCCGCTACGCTACCACTTTGCCACATATCAAGTCATATATGGAGTTGATTAATTTTATTAATTGGTGTTGAATTATTTTGTTTAATGGATTTTCAGTATATAATATATAGATAGATGTGTAAAGAATATAATGCAGTAAACTTTCTTCAAACATTATATACGTTTATGATGATGCAGTCTAGGTTTGCAAAGTTATAATTGTTTGTTTTTAATAATGAATGTTATTTCAATTATCCTTAGAAATTATAAAAGGAAAGGAGAGAAATATGGACGTGATAAGGGTGAGCGGTTTCGCACGTGCGTACGTACTTACTTCATATGTACGGACTTATGGGAGAGCTGGGGCCGTTGTACGTTAATCCAAGGGTTTATAATATCGGACCCACTAATTTAAGTGAATATTTTAAGGGTTAGATATTTTGCTTTTGTAGAATTTCTATTATTTATTTATCAGAGCGCCACATGGTAGCTTAGGAGCATTTGTAGGGGTGGCATGTAGCGACTTAGGACCGATTTAAGTGAATATCGATGGACAAATATTTTTGTTACAAAATAATCTAAAATAATGGGTACATAATATAATATAATGGTGTAAACTTTATTTTCAAATATTGTAGAGCTAATTTATTTATGTTCACTTGTAAAGATTTGTATGCTGGTATATTCTATATTTGTAAAGTGACTTTTATTCAAAATTTATTATCACTAATTATTATTATTAGTAGTATTATTATTATTAGTACTATTATTATTATTATCTCAATTATATACCGGAAAAAAAGAGAAAGAATAGTCACGTACCTTGGAAAAAAAGGTTATGTACGTGCATGCACCCCCTTTAACAGATCGCATGCAAGCAGTAACGTACCTATATATGGAATGGAACAGAGGAGTTGTTTTGAGATAAATCTAATCTAACGGTTTATAATATTGGACCCACCGATTTAAGTGAAAATCGAGGGATAGATGTTTTTCTTTTTTTTCAGATTTTCTAGAATTTTCTCTAATTTATTAGAGCGCCACGTGGCGGTTTGAGAGCGTTTTAAGGAAGCTTCATATACTTTTAGTATATAATAGATAACATGTAAAGAAAATTAAAGGTGTGATGCCGTGAGGGAAGAATTAAGCACCGCGGGTTGAATTTTTTCCAACACTTAGCTCTGTTTAACCTGAAACTAAGAGTTGATTATAGAATAATTATAATGTATTGTGTTATGTCATATTTGGATTTTGTACTATTTGTTCGTCCAGGTGAAAGAAATCATTATGTTATAAATGTGGGTATAATATTAACGAATATCAATAGAACTTTTACTAAGACAAGCATGCTATAAGAGAGTTTAACCCTCTTTTTTTCCCAATTCCATAGTTTGGGTTTTCGTTTGCATGCTTTCCAAGTTTCTAAATAGTATCTTTTTTAAACAACAGTTTAGCTTTTTAGAAGTCAATTCATTTGTTTGTACTCTCAAATAACTATCATATAAATAAGCTATTCTAAATCCTAAGTAGTACATGTTTTTTTCATGCGAGTCATGGTGATCAGTAAATTGGGGATCAACAGATAATCAAAGTCGTAAGATAAATATGTAAGAGATACTATGAATAACTGTAAATAGGTGTCAAAATTAATTGCTATTAATTAGACATCTAATGGCTTGCTAGCCACATAATTAATTTCTCTCTACATGTATATAAACATGGACGAAGCTGGAATAAATAATACCATTTGCCCCATGCATATATATATTATGTGGTCAATATTCTAATTACATGTGTTAAGTCCTTTAAAATTTCTTAAAATGCTCTCAAACTGCCACGTGGTGCTCTAATAAATTAAAGCAACTATTAAAAATTCTAAGAAAAAAAAGAAAAATATCTATTATTTGATTTTCACTTAAATCGGTGTGTCCAATATTATAAACCATTAGATTAAATTGATCTTAGAACAAACGAAATACTACGAGGTTCCACCTCTCCTCCCAGGGCATAGGTACGCACCTACGTACGTGGGTACGTATGCTTCCTCTCCCTTTTTTTCATTTTTGCCTTTCTTTTTTTTCCATGCATGCGCTTTCCTCCCGTTCTTACTATATCATTCATCTTCATGTGATGATTTAATCATAAGAATTTTAAGTATCTTGCTCTATAAATGGATTGTATAATAATTAACTTCCAATAGTTTCTTATTTACTCGAGAAAAAAAAAACATGATTCAAAAGTCATAAGTATTTAATCCATCTCCTACTCAAAAGTTTGTGAATGGTTTTTTTAACATACTTTAAGAAAAATAGAACCCTTAAATTATTATAAAATAACATTATCCAAACATTAGTTTGCCCTTAATTTATGAGACAAAATTTTCAAACAAACAATAATCTTATCTTTCAATAATATAATGCCCGCGCATCCGCGCGGGCCACCTTCCTAGTTATATACTAAAAGTCCTCCTCCTCCCTAGATATATCATATATACGTACCATGAACGTACGCTTCTTCTTTCCTTTCTCTTTTTTTTTCATTTTTTCTTCTTTTTTCCATTTATATAAGTACGTACGCTTCTTCTTTCCTTTCTCTTTTATTTTTTATTTTTTCTTCTTTTTTCCATTTATATAATAGATATATATATATATATATATATATATATATATATATATATATATATATATATATATATATATATATATATTTAAATAATCATAATTCATGCGTACGCTTCTTCTTTCAATTCTTTTTTTCCTTTTTTTCTTTTTCTATTTATATAATAGATATATATTTTTTAAATAATTATATTTTACAAACAAAGAATCTACCATCATACAACTTAGAGGTAACTAAATTATCTCTACAATTTTTGAAAATAAAATTTACACCATTATATGTTACCCATTAAATTAATAATGTAATATAATTTCCATTTAAACCGGTGTACTCATTACTTTGTACTATTATTTTTAAATAATGCACTATTTTAAAATAAAGTTCACACATTATATTGTATACATACGTATGTGTACGTACGCTTCTTTCGCTTATTTTTTCCTTTTTTTTCTTCTTTTTTCTATTTATATAATGGATATATATTTTTTAAATAATCATAATTTTACAAATAGAGAATCTACCATCGTACAACTTGCATGTAACTAAATTAGCTCTACAATTTTAAAAAATAAAATTTAGACCATTATATGTTACCCATAAAATTAATAATGTAAGATAATTTCCACTTAAACCGGTGTACTCATTACTT